AGCTTGGTGGACCTTCAGAACCCAAAATTCTCTTCTTAACCTTGTTTTACAAGTAAAATATTGTAAGAGATCACATCCTGTCTCTAAGAGTTGGGCCTATGGCCAATCACATATCTGGAAGAGACTCATGGATGTGAAAAAAAATTGTGAAAAACTTTTACACTGGAAGATTGGTAAAGGAAACCTGTCATTTTGGTGGGATAATTGGACGGAAAAAGGAGCTTTAGCTACTCTAATGAATCTGAGATACAAGTCAAAAAAACTAGAGTTAGTGATTTCTTTATTGATAATCGGTGGGATCTGATTAAGCTCCATAATGTTCTCTCTGTTGATTAAGTTTCTCATATTCAAACTATCTGATTTATCCCTGGGCAAGATGATGAAGCAATTTAGATTGCCAACCAAAATGGTAAATTTTCCACCAAATCTACTTGAAAGAATCTCAAGAATCCGAATAACATTACTCTTACTGGAAAGAAAATTTGGCATAATAAGCTTCCTTTCAGGGTCTCTTTCTTTATGATGAGACTTCTAAAAGGAAAGCTCCCTACTGATGATTCTCTCATCAAATTTGGGGTTCATGGTCCCTCTATGTGTTACTGTTGTTCTCGAAAAAATATGAAAACTATAAATCATCTTTTTGCTAATGGAGAATTGGCAAGTAACATTTGGGGATATTTCTCTAATGCTTGTGGTATACCTTTGCTCCACGGAGATATCAGAAGCATGGTAATGAGATGGTGGTTATTAAAGCCTAAAAACAAAGTTCATGATCTAATTTTGCAGTGCTTGCCTTCTATTATTTTGTGGCAAATTTGGAAATCCAGATGCTCTCACAAATATGAAGGTATCAGATTTTATTCTAGAAGGGTGACTGATCAAGTCACTCACCTAATGAGACTCATTTTGATTGCTCAATTTCCTTCTATCAATTTTCCCCCAACAATGTCATACATCTGTGAACTAGTTGACAGACTCAAACCAAAGCTTGATATTAAGCTAGTCATATGGATCAAACCTCCCCAGAACCAGTTAAAGCTTAATGTTGATGGTTGTAGTAAAGGTAATCCCGGAAGTGCAGGAGCAGGAGGCATTCTTAGAGATCACACTGGCCATATGATCATGGCATTTGCAGTATACTTGGGGAATTGCAGTAATAACATGGCTGAAATACTTGCTTTAAAAATTGGGTTAAGATGGTGTCTTCAACATGGATTTATTAACGTTTCTATTGAATCTGACTCACTTTAGTTATCCAAATGGTCAAGGGCAACATCACTCCATTTTGGCAAATCAGAGAAGAGATCACTCAAGTGCAGAATATGACCTCACAAGGTTTCTTTCAACTCGAGCACATTTTTAGAGAAGGCAATTTAGTAGCAGATCAACTTGCTAACTTGGGGGAAAGGAATAAACAGAACACTTTCTTCACTGGGGATACCACCTTACCTAGACAGATAAAATCCACAATGAAGAATGAGGTTAATGGACCTCCTACATTCAGGATTAGAGTGAAGAAAGGTGTCTTCATTTTTGATCCAGGATGAGTCTCTCTTGTTGTAACTTTCTTAATACTTAGTTAATCTCTTTTGGAAGCAAAATAGTTACATGAGGAGTCCTCCCCATATCTTCTGCAGATTAGTCCTTTGCATATTTTGTATAAGAGGTTAAGCTTTTGTCCCTCTCTATGTAATCTTTTGACTTATAAATGGAATTAATACACCTTCCAAAAAAAAAAGGGGGCTTGATCCTAGGATCTTGTTTTCTAGGTATAGCAATATATAGTGGCTTTAACAACCATTGTATGACACGAAATCTCTGAGAAAACTTATGCTACATTCTATTCTCAAGCTAAATAATACAACTTTACTTTCTGTTTTATATTGATCTTATTCTGTCTTCGGAAGCATCGCTCCCGGAGTCACGCATGTCATTCCCTTTGATTTTAACGCTAAGTCTTATTTTTAATCTTATTTATTTATCATTTAGGATTAAATCAATTTGCTTGTCTATAAACCACGTAACAAATTTAACTATACCGTTTTACGAGTAAAGAAATATATATACTAATATTAAGTTCACTTTCTTTATCTTGTTTCATTATCTCATTATCACAAGTAAAGTGATATAGTATATACTCATTCATCCTTATCATAAGTCTCAGACCCGGGCCTTGAGTATGGAATCACCATTGTTAAATAACATTTTACTAATAATGTGGAGCTTTTCAGCCCTAATCCGAACTTTGTTGGCCCTCACTTTCACTTAAAATTTTTGGACCACCCATATTATTAACCTGGTGCTCTCCTTTCACGGCTCAAACATTTATGCAAGTTGACGACATAATACTCTCCACATCTTTGATTCAGATGCGAACCTACAATTTAAATAATTGAATATGATTCCACCACAATCGATGTTGGTAAATACATGAAAGGAGTCCTTTCATGTGATTGCTTGTGAGCAAACACATGCATCCCATATTTTTCAGTAGACGGAAATATTCTCTCTTTTTCCAAACCTAGATTTCTTGATATACCTATTTACCACTGTTATTGTTGACTCTCTACTCTTTAGGGAAGGGTTGGGGTTTGTATGAGTGAGAGACATGGGTTCGACCTTCAAAATTTTTTAGTAGTTTAGTTAGTTGGCTAAATTTTTTGTAAGGAAATAATATGGATTTAACCTACTGATTAGCGTACGTGTGCCTTACTATCTGCCAATCCATCGTTATACCAAAATATCTATAACTTTTGTTTCGAGTGACTACTGAATGTCCACAATGACAAGAGAAACTGTGGCCAGCAAAAAGATTTGGAAACTAAAATCCTCCAAATTAGCACATGCATGACTAGACACCTCAAAAATTCCAAAGATATTCAACAGTGAGGAAATGACATTTTGCATGAAACGAATAGTCTATCTATAACTAACAATTAGGTTTGGTCCCATTAAATGAAAGAGATTGGTTAAGGGGCATAAGTCAATTTTTAATACCAAAAGGCAGTAGATCTTTTATTCCCTCTTCCAATCGATTTCCGAAAATTCAGAAGTTGATAAGGAGATTGAATGAAGGAGAGATCTTTTATTCCGTCTTTCGATCAATTTTATAAACATAGAAGTTGACAGGGAGATTGAATTAGAAGAGAAATTTAAAATAGAGACTGAGAATAGCTTTTCTGTTTATCGCGTGGTTACAAGTATAAAGCTAGTTTAGTTTTCTCTTAATTTTTCCAATAAAAAATTAAGCCAAATTAATTAAAAACAACGGAAAAGAGTCTGATATGCCTCTCTATTATAATTAATTGCTTAAAGTTGTTGTCCGTTATATTATTAGGTCATAAAATTCTTTGCCGTCTTACTATCCTAACAAATCTATCCTTAATTAAACGGAGGTAATACGTGGCGGCATAGGATTAAAATTGACCCTTTTTTATTTTTTCTAACCCGATTCACTTAAGAAAAACCCACTATCCGACCCAAAGTTCACCCGCTTCTCTCTCTTTTCCTCCACTCTTCTCTCTTACATCACTGTTATGACCATGGCTGGAATCTCTATTGGAGAATTCGCCGGAAACCAGGGAGAACCTTTGGATTTGAAATTTACTGGATCTAACCGGAAATTTTCCGGCGAGCCATTGTTCTCTTTTTCATATGTTTTTTTTATTTACCAGATCCAGAAGGGAGCGAAATAATAGCTGAAACTCCAACCATGGAGTATGGTCGGCATCTTACCGAAGAATTTTCCGGCGGCCTTTTATTGCAACAACAGCGGCACGTTAGATTCTGCTTGCTCATGGTGGTTATAAATTGAAGAAGTACAGTGGGAGAACTTTTGACTTTTGAGAAGACTTCAAAAGTTTGTTTGACAAGAAAGTTGTTCAACATATACTTGCAGATTTGTATCATGGAGTTTTACAATAAAATTTTAAATTTTTTTCTCAAATAAGATCAGATTTTTTCATAAATTCATCATTTTTGCCCTCTTGTTTGTGAATTATTTTGATGAGTTGAATCAATTGTTTCCTGCGGGTGTATGATATGGAAGTTTGACTGGATAACAACTAAAATAATTACGCTTCCTCTTATCACTAAAAAAGAAAGAGGGATTATTTCTTTGGATCTGCAAATTTGCACCAAGAAAGAAGGTTCTCCTTTCCCAGTCAAAAAAATCGACCGAGTCTAAAAAATTATTTGCTGCTCTTTGCACGAATCTGAAAAATAATCATCCTATTGTGTTACCAAAATCGCCCCTAGAGACAGATTTGCTCGGTCAAAAGAATCGTTCTGGGCAAGTACCTCCCCTCCTAAAATTGGAATAAAATTGTGGATTTTAAGATGATGGGATGAAGAAAAAGAAAAACTGAACGGTGGGTTTGGTGAGTTGCACGGTGATTAAATTAGATGACCAAATTCCACCATTTACATAACCAAAAAATTGCAATCTCTGGTAAACACTAGTTGATTGAGTATTAAATTGCGATCTACTATCATTAGCGGTTTGGATTTTCTTTGTATTGGAATTGGAATATATAGATTTGGTCATGAAAATGGTGGTATTTGTGATGATGGATGAAAAGAAAGAAAACAGATTGATGGATTTTGATGAGAATGGTTTTACATAGTGAAATAAATTATTTTTGGAAAATGGTGATTGAGCTTGGGAATCCAAGAGAAATTTCGGATGGTCAAGGAGATTATCCAATATTAAAAAATACTTTAAAATAAGATAAAATGGATTACGTGTTATGGGTTTCGTGGAACGGGACGCTTAATATGTGCCCAAATGTAAAAAGGCCACAGATGGGTGCCACATGTCACCTCCGTCTAATTAAGGATAGATTTGTTAGGATAGTAAGACGGCAGAGAATTTCATAGCCCAATAGTATAACGGGGAATAACTTTAAACAATTAATCATAGTAGAGGGAAATATCAGACCCTTTCTGTAAAAACAAATCTTATATAACTTGAGTAAGAGCGGGAAGTACACTAGAAGAAAGAAACTTAAACATTGTGGATCAAAACGTATGTTTAATGAGGCAAAACTGCTTGATACAGAAACTTAGAAAAAAATGTTATACAGGAAAACATTAATCAATATCTGAACAGACTAATGGACATTAGTAAAGCTCATAAGTTATATTTACAGGTATGGAGAACTCCTGCAGATGAAGTGAAGCTATATTGAACTTGAGAGTTGATTTCAACTTTTTCCCAACCCGAACTCCAACAAACAAAGAAGAATCTGTGAGTGAAAGGGGTTGAATACACCCCACGAAACGTTTCCTAGTAAAGCTGTAACAAAAACTGTGACAAAGACTTATGTCCCAAAAATACGTCTGTGAACAGGTAATGCATCAAGCGTTTTAACCACTTGAATCCAGGGTTTGTCTATGATCAAGGTGGAAGTTCTTGAAAGATGTCCAACAAACAAAACAGGATCCCTGAATGCACAGAATTCAAAATTCTTTCTACCATTTTGTTTCATATCTAAGTCATTCCCTATTGGCTTGCGCTTTAAGGTCCCATTTGCAGGAGTACCATGTAGCTTCTTCAAAGCTAAATCTTGACCATTAGCTAAGTCGGTATCGTCATCATCACCAACTGGCAACCCAAAGTCAATCAAGCACATCGCCCTACAGAATAAAGCCATAAAAGTGTTTCTCATGTGACATTTATTGGAACTAAAGCACTGAGATAACGTAATTAGGTTTCTCAAAGTTAACCAGATAAAGAACTCGAGAAAGATCAAACAAACTGAGAAGGAATATGCAGGAAACAGGACTAGGGCATGGTCAAAGAAATTTCCATTGGGCCATAGCAAGGTACACATACTGAAGCATACACTGCTCAGGCATTTCAACTTTATTGGGCCATAGCAAGGTACACATACTGAAGCATACACTGCTCAGGCATTTCAACTTTATTGGGCCATAGCAAGGTACACATACTGAAGCATACACTGCTCAGGCATTTCAACTTTCCATGAATATTAAAGCCACATGCAGTTCCTTCGGATTAAGTTGGGGTTCAACTGAACGCTTCTAAGAATATCCTGAGCCAGCAATTAGGTTGGATAAGAAATTAAATTTCTTAACACAGCAAAAAAAAACTAGCTCTCAGCAAATAAATTGCTCTAAACAATCTCAGCTATAATGACTGAACCACAGCAATCTGCAGCACATCATACACATGCTGACTACTACTACTGTGTGCTGATGTGCCTAGATGCATCAAAAGCAAAATCTTTGTATCCAAACATATAAAATGAACAGCCTAGCTAAGAAAGCCCATTACTTCAGTACTTGGCTCCAATTACGAGACCAACTTGTATTTCATGTAATCACCATTCTCTTAACAAAATGTTACCAAAATCTTTGATGCACATTAAAGCAAACCTAAAGTGTCACCAAAAAGAATACAGCTAGAAAAGACAGCAGAAGACAAAGACAAACAAAAACTCAAAAACAGCTTTGACAAAAACAGCAAAACACACCTTGCACTGTAGACGATCACAGATGATGAATTAGCAGGAGCAAAAGAAAGGCCAATAACTTCTCCAGGAAATTCTTGAAATCTTCTCGGCAGGGAGAATGTATTCCGGTTGGACCATTCTCCTAGTTGCTTAGCTTCAACATCAAAGGCATATACTTGGTTCGAAGATGTGGATACAATAAGCACATTGCTATTTCGAGGAGTAAAACCACCCGCTGTAACAGAAGAACCATTCAATCTTGATATAAACCAATGTTGCCTGTTCCACAATATTTAGTCAGTGCCCCCAAAAGGAAATATGATGAAGGTCCTCCAAAAAATATTGAACTGACTTGACAGTGAAAGTTATCAAGTGGCAAATGGGAGTTTCACTCAAAGGATAACCACACAACACAGGGAATTAAGTGTTCATCGTTTCAATGCGCAAGAAATGGGAAGAATTCTCATTCTAAAAATATGCCTATTTATCATGTAGTGTACCTAGAAGTTTACTGGAAAATACACAAAAAGTAAACCACAATGGGCAAAAATGAAGATAGATAAGATACTAGATACATGTAAGAGAGGAGGTCCCATACCTCTGTGTCTCAAGATTAAATATATACACATCTCCAAAGCAGTTGACAGCAGCTAACCACTGCCCATCGACACTAGTGAACATTTTGGTAATGGAAGGTTCATTTGGTGGAAATTCTTCGTAATGCTCTTGACGACGAGGTGAGAAAATGTGACCTAGTTCCAAGCTTACGGCATCAACCACCTAGAAAAGAAGACAAGCTTCAGAGACTAAAGAAAAACATCACAATTATATCTCAACTACGACTACTATAGGATTGACACTCTACATTGATACTTCTTATTATCGATTAACTATTGTCTCCACCCTGCATTCTCCTATTAATATTGATCCAAATTTACAATATACATTAACTCCCCCATCTTTGAAAAAAAAAAAAAATTAACTCCGACATCTGATGTCTACATGAGGGACATTACAGTCGACAACAGTATTCAAGGCAAATATGACATCCTCAATTAAAGCAAAAAGGTCAATAATCACTCCGCACCAGCACCAGCCACAGCCCGGCTCTCTCCTCCCTTGTCATAGGCATCCTACAATCCCCTCGCCATTTCCATCAATCCCCTCACCATTTCTCCTCTCACTGGCAATCTTCTCTTCATTTCCCCACTCCCTTAACCCTCTTCTTTCCTCTATCATATGATCCCAGTTTCCCAACTTCCTTTCTGTTTCGCTAACTTTCCAGCAACTCCTCTTCACATCTTCCCCATATGTAGATTGGCGGTGGTGATTCTGGTGAGGTAAGGGGGGCTGATGACAAAGAGATATGGTTCAGGAGGGAGGCATGTGTCACTGTTTTTCCCTTATTATACAACAAAAAGTAGGAAAATTTTTGTCCCACGTACTATGGAGTAATTCCCATTAGATTAAACATGTTTGTGAGAAATGGATCATTTTTACTGGGAGAAATTACAGTTGGTTCATCTTAGTGTTTTCAAATACAAAAGCGCCAAAAACGGTGTGGGGCTTTAAGCAAGAAGCAATACGTGAGTGCACTTTTTGAAGAAATAACAAAGTTGCAGCATACACATATATAATCAGGAAATCATTATAAATGCAAGAACAATACTCAACAAGTACATGTTATACAAGTCCTCACATAACCCTCACACATAACAAGCATAATCTCAACATGCTAAAAATAAAAAGAAAAGGCAAACTCAAACGAAATCATTCAAAAACAAAGTCCACCAGCCAATAGGCTAAGAAAATCACCATTTGACCATGATCGTATTCCTAAATTTTATCCCAAGAAAGAATCCTACTCACGATAGTTTTAAATTGTTATAAATTTATAAGAAAAGGTAGTAGAATGCAGACAAAAGTTGCTAAAATCAGTTTTTACCATTTTCACATCACTATTAAAAAGAGGGTAAAATACAAAAGCAACTTGCTTTAAAAAAAATTTACCATTTTCAGACAAGCTAAAAATAAAAAAGGGACGACAAACTAATAGGCATTTTATAAGAAGTCTGCTTCACATACTCTGTTCAATTCAAATAGAGTGAAAAACAGACTCTGTTCTCTGTTTTAAAACAATTATAACAAGAAAAATATAGCAGTTTTGCAATAAGAAGAAAAATGAAGCTTTAAACCCTTTATGATCTTCAGTTAACAGCAAAGACACAAAGAAGAAGTGATGCAATGCTTTTGCACTTCTTCTTCAGAGCCCTAATACAGGGTTTGCAGCACTGCCACAGTGAAGCTATAAGAAGAGCGAAGCATCAGAGCCTGATTCTGTAGCAGTGAAACTTCAAAGAAGAAAAAGTGGAAGAGGGGGAGAAGGAAGAAGAAGAAGATGAGAAAGAGAAAGAAGCACCTGGCTGATAGATCAGAGTCATGTGAGAAGTGTCGGTGCATGAATTCTGGGTTCTGATTAGCTGGTAACTTTCTGGCTTTTCATTTCCTATTTCCCTTTTAAAGGTAAAAGGGCAGAAATAAGAAGCAACAAAGCGATTGCTTGTTGCTTTTCGCCTCATCACTGGAAGCGCATGCTTCAGTGATATCACATCTTCGACATGTCAAAGCGAGGGCATCTTGCGTCGCTCTGCTTCGTCGCTTTAAGCGACAGAGAGCACTTTTCCCAATACTGGTTAAAATTCACTAGCAGGACAAAGTTAGTGACCATCTCACTGAAAACTCAACAAATACGAGTTTAAGTACTAGAGAAACAATTTCCTAAAACATGGCAGCAGGATGCACGAAGACTACCACGTCCACGCAAGGTACGGGAAGGGCCTCACCTCAAAGGGGTGTATTGTAGGCATCCTACCCTAACACAAGCGTCGTCTCGAATCCATGACCTATCAGCCACACGAAGACAACTTCACTGTCGCTCCAAGGCTCTTCAGAGAAACAATTTTCTATTTTATTTTATTTTATTTTATCGGTGTGGGGAAAGGAGGAGAGATGAAACATGATGAATATTTTTTGGTATAAGAAAATCCTGAATGCATATGATGCACCAAAATAAGGTTGCATCCAATCAGCTTTATCAACCAACAACAACAACAAACCCAGTGTAATCCCACATGTGGGGTCTGGGGAGGGTAGTGTGTACGCAGACCTTACCCCTACCTTGTGAAGAATTAGCTTTATCCTCCAAACAAGAAAACTAGGTCAAAAATCAACTTAAAACTTTTTATTATTGCATGTGTAGGAGTAAGCATCTCCATATGCACACACAACATAAAGCTAACATCTGCTTGTCCGTGTACAAATTGGAAAAGGATCTGCACGTGTATGCTGTACAGCAATAAATTCAATTAATCGATCAATCTACTATACTTCATGGGTCAGCTATGAATCATTTGTATCCATTCCACATCCATCATATGAATAGACTATTGTTAGGATGGGAACAGCTATACTGAGTCAGCACAAAGACGAAATTGTGCCAGTAACACACACAAGAAAAGTTCACACTCCCTATTATTGACATAAAATATGCAAACGGGAGAAAATCTGACTACTGTAGTTACTCCCTCTGTCCTAATTTATGTGAAGGTGTTTGATTGGGCATAAAGTTATAAGAAATAAAAGAAAGACTTTTGAAACTTATTGTCTATAACAAACTAGAGAAATTTGTATGGCTAAAAATCATCTGATTAGGGGTAAAAGAAGAAATTTAAAGTGAAATGTTACTAAATATAAAAAGGTATCATTCTTTTTTGGACTAACTACAAATGAAAGAGTGTCACATAATTGGGATGGAAGGAGTATTTAAGTTAGTATAGTTCTAAAATCATGATTCTTAACTAAAATGTTCCAACCTTAGTAAGAACCTTACTACCTACAAACTACATCTAACATAGTCAGAGTAACACCTCAGAAAAAGCTGTCATCAACTCACTCCTCAAAAGTGATAGCAACATGCAAAATACATTGAGAACTTCACCCTGACTTTATCAAAGACAAACACACTTTATGCTTTAAACTAGAGAAGATAAACTGGAGAACGGAATCACTCACATAGATGTTTCTGTCACACCCTGCTATCATCATTCGAGAAGAATCCGCACTGAAAACCATTGAATGGGCAAATGGCAGTCCCGAAGGGAGCTGCCTTCGGCTGACAGTCCATGGACTCTTGCTAGCACCACTCTTTTTAAGTTCAAAAAGACAGGGTTTTACATAGTCGGAATAAGCAAACATTACACCTGAAGGAGAAATTGCACTGCATGTGATCTTCCTCGAAGTTTTGCACTTAACACGAGCCACAAGATCTGTTCTCGCAGCCCCGCCAGACTGGCCACAGCTATCAGACACAACTCCCTTTTTTACACGAACACAAAAAATATCTATCCAGTACGCAGCCTGGACTAAGAGTAAAGAAGCCTGACTGAAGATTGTATTTACTGCAAGTTGTATAGGTGGCCTCTGAGGTGAAGGACAAATGTCATGCGGAGAAAACCTGGTGAATTCCTTTACAGAGTATGCAAAAAGTTTAGTGTCATCACCACCTGAGATAAGCATCGGTACACCCAAGTGTGCCCATTTATGGTAACTAAAATCAAGGGGCTTCTCCCCAGAACGCTGCTTCTTTGCCTTATGTTCAGCCATGGGCTCTGTCAGGGAGAAGAAAGGTTAAAAATTAAGTATAACAAAACCCAGATAAGAAGGGATATCTTGAAGTCCAAAATCAAAACAAGGCAAATATTTCAACTTCAATTTCAGTGAACGAGAGGCAAAACTAAATAACTGACCTTCATGAGCAATGGGTACAGCAACTGCCAAGGCCCTCACATCATGTGTATGGGCCCTCACATAACCAACATAAATCCATTTCTTCATGTCTACAGAAGTAATATCTCCATCATTAGACCCAACCTCACTGGTTGAGAGCTTATAAATTATAACCTAAAAACAATAGCAAATAATTAGCAGCTATAAAAGCATACTTAAATTGTGTTCTCAAAACAATTATAGCTGAGAATGTCTTAAGCAAGATATCAGAAGAGATGAGAATATACAATATCTAAAGAAAAACAAATTAAATAAAAGATTGATACTGTAATATCTTCATTTTAGCAAGATTGACTGAAAGAATATTGTCGATCAACTCGAAAGATTTAAGTACAAAGGTACTTTTTGGTGCCTTCGGATGAGAGAAACCTCAGATGTTTTGATGGAATTTCAACTCGAAATCACTCACCAAAAAGCTAAATGTCTGCTTAGTCTGTTTAGTTGGTCCAACCAGTTCCATGTAAATAGTACTACTATCTTCATAGGCTTTGTTAGTTCCCTAACTTTAGACTAGCCATAGTCATGAAAGGCCTTCATAAGATTTTTTGGTGTTGTGGCTAGCTCCCAGTATCTACAATATCATGTAACGAAGCTAACATATTTACCTTTGTACTTTCTGCATCTTCATGATGCCAGTAATGAAACAACTTCATAAAAAAAGAATATTGTTGATCAACGAAGATTACAGATACATTTTTATAAAATAGCAGGCACCTCTATGTTAGTCATTCGTCAATTCTTTGCCTTTTTGCTTTAACTTTTCTTTATCATTTTTTTAGAAAAAGGTAGATAACAAGAAATAGAAAAGGAAATGAAGTTTTACGTGCAAGTTTTTTGGCAAAAAACAAAACAAAACACAGGAAGCACTTATACTGGAAATATGGAAGTCAAGCCTCTCAAGCAACAACCAATTGTAGCATATTTTCTTTTTTTGTCTTTTAGACAAGCGATTTAACCCATGTATAACAACATAAGCAACTAACAATTTAAATGCTTCGAACATATTATCTTTTACTATCACAAACCATACAACCTGTTTATTTATTCATAGTTAACCATTGAGCCTGTTTTAAAAAAAAAATTGTAGCATCTCAAAGCACTGATAATTAGGGACAAGTTTAGGAGGCAATTTATGTATTATCCCATTTTAGTTCTGTGTTTTATCTTCATTTGCTATACCACTCCCCTGAAGCATTGAGGTCTACATATTTGAATTGCCTGCATTTAGGTACCACAATCCTGCCTAGTTCCACCTCAATTTCACTCTTCGTATGCTTGCTAAACTTGAAATACATATATTCTGTCTTATTTCTACTTATCCTAAACCACTTAATCCCTAAAATGCTTATCCATAGTTCAAATTTCTGGCGGATACCATTGCTAGTTTCATCAATTAACATCATCTACTAACTTCATAAAATGGGACTTCATTTTTTATCTGGGTAAACAAGCAAGGGCTCAATGAGAACCTAGAGGAATAAGCACAAATAGATGTACAACTTAAATAGAGTATTTTCTTTGGATAGGGAGCGTGTTTATGTACCTGACCATCAGAACCAGCAGAGAACACCCTCCTATGGCTGGGTGATGCTGCTAAAGCATTCACGTCACCTTTATGACTTGAATGTGACTGCAAAAGAGTGCCATGATGGGTGTCCCAGAACTGGACGCTACCAGTACTATCTGCACTAACCAGGGTACCACATCTGCAAACAGCATTATGAGGTTTGAAGCAATATTAAAACGGAAAATTTTAGTATAACACAAGATGAAAAAAAAGGAGTTCCCATTCTTTCTGAAACTTCTAAGGGAAGGGTTGCCAATTTGATATTCACCTCAACGCAAGCAATGACCATATGCATAGTTCAGATCCACTACCCAAACCTCCAAGTCCAACAGTTATCCTATAGACTTCATATGCTAACTTCGCATCCCAGCATCTTATAAACCTGCAAAGGAAAAATCTCCTCTCAGAATTTTCACAGCGGACACGCCATGAAGAATAGACAGTCATGCTTCAGCCGACATTATTGCCTCTGTTGAGTTTTTCATCAGAAATCAACAAGTAAATGTAGCACATAGTTAATTCCAAAATAGAACGTACCCATCACTACTACCAGAAAATATCCTCTTTGCATCAGAACTCCAAGTGACGCTCAATATACGCCCTGCAATTACACAAAAATTATAAAATACCCAAAGCAACAATCAGATATCTGCACTTTGACTCTCAGGGGCAGCTGTCTCACCACTGACCCTAGGCAATGATCTTTTGTAAGTCATATTCTTCTCATCAGTAGTGTAGATTCGAACACAACCATCATCACAAGCAAATGCAATTTGACCATTTTCACTATCATCATCCTCGTGAAGAACAACTGAGTCATCATCATCTTCACCTTCAGTGCTCTCATTATCACTACTAACACCATTTGTATGATTAACATGGCCATTCTCATACTGCCTTGGAAGATTTTGATGAAGCTGCGAAGTATTGCATGGTTCCACAGCCATCTGCCATATTGAAACACCAATGGAATCTAGCACAGCCTGCAAGCAACCATAGAAAAAACATACTCGATCCGTCGAAATCAAACCCTAAAACTACAGGCAAGAAAAATGGATCTTGAAATGCATTGATCAGGGAAGACCCGAGTCTCCGATCATACAGCCAAAAAGACTGCATTTTTCTTATGCCAAATCCATAAAAGACACTGCAAGAGCATGGTATCTAAGACAATAGCAGCTAAAAGCAATAGATTACAGCAATATGCAGCTTATAAGCTTTTAACAAAATTCTTGCCGACGAGTACTATTCGGTAAGATTGCATACAATAGACCCTTGCGGTCCAGCCCTTCCCCGGATCCCGCACATAGTGGAAGCTTAGTGCACCGGACTGCCCTTTTATTAATGAAAAATATCATAGAGGATATCATCTCTTTGGAATCTCTCCACCCCACAAAAGGAAAGCTAAACATAGCTTTTTAACAAACAACCATTTCAAAAATCCACTAATTTATATATTAAAAAAGGTAGAATAATGGAGAGAAAAGGAAATAGTAGATAAGATCAACATAGTATTCTATAAAGACAATCACTGCCATAAAATGTCAAAAATTCCTTCTTTTGTCGTATTTCAGATTGCCTTCTTTTCTATGTTCATCAAAAAAATGCAGTCAACAAGTTTACCTTGTCAACTCAATTCAGGTCCATTTCATTGCACTACTAAATAATGTATACCTTTTAAGGTCCCTTGGACGAGTATATTATAGCATAAGTAGTTCCTCCAATTCAATCAATCAATATACGCATACACTTATTACCCAATTACACGTACCTTCTGAGTCAAATCGAAAAGATCCCACTCGTAAACTGATCCATCAATGCTGGACGAAAATAACCGACCTGCATCTAACCTTCTCGACCCCGACTTACACCACACTAACGACGAAACCCTAGAATTAGGATTTCCATGTATAATCTACACAGCCAGAAACAAAACAAAAAAAGCTCAATCACACATATTTTAAAGCTAAAAAAAGGGAGTAAATAGACAAATATATATAGTCGTACAAGTTGACAGTGCCAGCCGACAGAGCCAGGAGAAACAAGCCAAATCTCAAGAGAGCCGTCTTCTCGAGCTGCGGCGACTTGAGAATCGTCGGCACTAGTAGCTAGGGCTACTACCGGCGAAGGCTTCCACTCAACTGAGCTGCTTCTATAAACTTCGAGCATCTCTGAAGCTTAAAATTGTTGTACTTTTCCTCGAGTTTCAGAGGAAAGGTGCAGCTACGAAGAGGGGGCAGGACATGCTCAAATGTAGGCGATGCCAAAAAGAGGGCTAGGTTTTCGAACGAACGAGGGTTTAAGCTGAATTAATTAATTATTAATTCGGGCTTTTTTAAGGTCCGCCCGGCATAAACGGGTTAGTCAATCGATCCTAGACCATTTTCACTCTAAAAAAAATACTTACTACTACTATAAGAAAAGGACAATATGAACTAGGGTTCCTTCTTGGCTTTAGCTCTGCAGTACCTTTTTCCTTTTTAAGTATTCAGTAAGTATTCCGAACTCATTCCCCAACTAATTTGAATTTGTGCTGTTATGCTATGCTCAAGTCTTTTTTTTATTTTACACTAATTGTGTAAAAATTGTGATGTAAAGATTATTTAAACAATGAATAATAACAAGAAAATTTTTTATTCCATGTAAGGATAATAATATAGGAAATCGTCATGTAAGGATATACTTGCTTTGAGGCATTTTTGTTTTTAAATAATTTTTTATTCCACATTAAGATAATAATAATTTTGCACATAACTTAATATGAGTACTTATTAATACCGTCAATTAAAGTTGCATTGATGATAGAGAAATTATTTTTTTTCTTATAACACCAAGCAAGGTATGCGTATATTAAGGATCATTTTTCCTAATTTTCTCTCCAACCAAACACTTTATACCGGGAATATTTTCATAATGTCTATAGCAAAATGACCCTTAAGTCTAATTTACTCTAAATAATCATATTATATGACTCAATTGCATGAATATCCTAATATTTTAAATTATACAATTAATTCTCATATATAAAAAAATCTTACTCAATATTAAGTATCACAAAGTATTATCTCTGTCGTTGAAGGAGAAATTTTAAGTGTTTATATATGTTATTCGGATTCGACCCACCTAGGAACTACTTCATGATTTTGTAGGATCTCACCAATCCCTTAGGGTCATGTGCCTTTGTGACTTCTTAACTTTTGATGGAGGAAGTTGATTCATAATCCTTAACAAACACATGCGGATTTAGGATTTCTAAAATATGAGTGCACCATTGAAAAAAGAAATACTAAGTGGGAATCGATCCATGTTCCTTTGGATAAATAATTAGCATTCAACCAAGTGCACCGTTCAACTTTCTTGGAGCATGGGGTCCAACAAATCATATTTGATAAGTTATGTCTCTTTTGTTTTGATGGTTTGACAAACTTCATGAGAGAACCAGATAAGGAACCTGATACAATTAGTTCCCTTGCGTTCGGAGTAACTAGTCAGATGTCTGGTTCAATTCTCAATAAAATCAGATAAGGGAACAATAGAGGGAACAGACAGGGATCAATTCCCATGGTCGTCGTACAGTCAACTTTACAGCTATAAAAGTTGATGTAATGTACCGTCTGACAGCAGTACAGCAACACAGTTGTAGCTTGCTAAGGCCAAACTAAAGGACACTTTATTGCATCATCTTTGATGATCTCACACGCACATATTATCAACATGAGGCAAGGGATTTCATTTCACCAACACTTGCAAATCTAAAAAACATATTCTCTCAAGTGTTAGCCACCACCTCTCTCAAGAACAAAGCTGCTGCAACCTCAAGGACCAGATCCAATGGTTGAAGATATCTTAAGTCCTTAGGTTTGTTGAGTCTTTGTTATTTTATTCTTCATTTGTAATCATACACTACTTTCAAGAAATGAATTTGTAGGACAGATTTAAACTACGATTTGATTTAGTTTCTTGACTAGAGTTAGTCAAGGTTTGTTACTTTGTAATAGAGTTATTGTAAAGGGCTTACAATAGAGTTATTGTAAGGGGTGAGGGATTAAGAGTTTAATTCCTAGAATGCAATAGGTTATAATCTCAAGTTTGCTCGATTTAGTGGGGTTGAAATCATATTAGGGTAGGTCATGGTTTTTAATCCCTTGAACAAGGAGTTTTTATGTAAATATTGTGTGTTATTTATTTACTGCCGATTTACTGCGGGAATAAATAGAGAACTTAGTTCCCTATACTGTTTGGTTTTACAGTCTATTGTTTACCATGGTAACTGATAGAGAACCTAGTTCTCTAAACAGTTTGGTGGACCCTTAGTTTCTATCAATTGGTATCGGAGCAGGTTCTTTTTAAGAGGTTAACACTTGGAAAGGATTTTCATCATGGCTGCTTCACCAAACTTCGAGGAAGGAATATCAACCTATAGACCCCCAAGATTCAACGGCTAATGTTATGGCTGGTGGAAAACAAGAATGCATGACTTCATTATGACTGAATACTTCGAGCTTTGGGACGTGATTTATGATGGTCCATTTGTCCCTATGAAGGCTGTTGGAGAGGGAACAAAGAATGTTCCAAAGACAAGAAAACAATACACTAATGCTGATCGAAAAGCTGTTGAGAAGAACTTCAAGGTGAAGAAGATTCTTGTGTGGGGTATTGGACCAGACAAGTATAACTGTATCTCATCATGTGAATTTGCCAAGGAAATTTAGGAAGCTCTTCAAACAGTCATGAGGGAACTACTCAGTTAAAACAATCCAAAATAGATATGCTTACAACTGAGTATGAACTCTTTAAAATGAAAGAGGATGAGTCCATTCAAGAGATGTATACCTGTTTCACCTCCATAATCAATGAGCTTCATTTGCTTGGTGAAATCATTCCAACCAGCAAGCTAATCTGAAAGATACTTAGTGTTCTACTAGGTTCTTGGGAGAGCAAGGTTAATGTTATCACTGAAGCCAAAGACCTGCAGAATCTGACTATTGACGAGTTTATTGGAAATCTCAAAATTTATGAGATAAAGAGAAAGAATGATCTTGAAAGAAGAGAGCACAAGAAGGAAAAAAACCTGGTCTTCAAGGCTAACAACGACTCAAGTAGTGATGAATCCGACATGGAGTATCTCAATCGAAGATTCCAAAAGATGGTTCGAAAAAATGGTGGTATTTCAAAGAAAGGAAGTTCCAATAGGAATTTCAAAGAAAATAATTGATGTCATAAGTGTGAAAAGTCTGGACATTTTATTAAAGGTTGTCCTCTTCATAAGTAGGATCATTACAAAACCAACACTGATAAGGCAGCTAAGAGGAACCAGGTCCCTAACAAGAAGTTCAAAAGAAGAGATGTTGCTGACAACGTGGTAAAGCAAGCTTTGGTTGACTGGGGAGATTCCTCTAGTGAATCTAAAGGTGAGGATGACCAAGGAGATACATTTATGATAGTTGTTGACAATGAATCTTCAGAATATGAGTCAATCTTTGCACTCATGGCTAAATTTGATAACAACGAGGATAAGGAGGAAGATGAGGTAAGTCTCTTGATGTTCAAAGAAATTTAAAAACTTACTCTAAGCAAAAATTGATGTCCTTAGAAAATGTGTTGGTTGATGCCTATCATAGCCTTATTAATGAGAAAATTCTCTAATTGAAGAAATTGGTAACATAAAATAAGAAAGAGATGGTATGTTAGTTTCCATTGTAGACTTGAAGGAATATGTGGAAGAAGTAACCAGAAAAAATACCTTGTTAAAAAAACCATATGAAAAAATAGATGGACACCCCTAAAGAAAAATAAGTGGCTAGTCAGCCTCAACTGGAGCTTGATAGTGAGCTTAAGAATAAACAACTTCAAGAGGATTTGAAAGGGTTAAAAATGATCTTGATAAGTCACTTAAATGTACTTGGTCATCTGATGTAATAACGTCTATATACAAAAGTAATGGTGGAAACATGCAAGGAATAGGGTTCCAAAAGGCTAAAACCTCCTATAGTCCCATAGCAAGTATACAATTATGGATGATAATTGGTTGTATACTCACTGTGGTAAAATGGGTCATTATAAAGACTCTTGTAAAACTAAATTTCAGTCTTTGCAAAAAAATAAATTTTTTGTTGAAAAGAGGCCTATTATTTGTTACGACCCGGCCGGTCATTTTGAGAATTAGAGCCTCGATCCCCTATTAACTGCATCTCTGTATCTATTTTTGCTATTGTGACTTGCCAAGAGGCTTCGTTTTGATTTTTGAAGTGTTTTGGGACACTTAGTCCCTAAATGGAAGCTTAAGTCTTAAAATTAAGACTGTAGTCGGAATAGTGTAAAGACGTCTCCAGAATGGAATTCCATCAATTTTGTTAGCTCCGCTGGGCGATTTTGGGCTTAGGGGCGTATCCGGATTGTGTTTTTGAGGTTCGTAGCTCATTTAGGCTTGAAATGGCGAAAGTCAAATTTTCGGAGTTTTGGGCCGGTAGTGGAATTTTTTATATTGGGGTCGGAATCCGATTACAGAAGTTGAAGTAGGTCCGTAGTATTGAATATGACTTGTTTTCAAAATTTATGGTCAATCGGACGTGGCTTGATAGGTTTCAGCATCGGTTGTGGTGATTTGAAGTTTCAAGTTCATTAAGTTTGGATTGGAGGGTAATTTGTGTTGTTAGCATTGTTTGATGTGGTTTGAGGGTTCGACTAAGTTCGCATGATATTTTAGGATTGGTTAGTATATTTGGTTGAGGCCCCGAGACCTCGGGTGTGTTTCAGATGCTTAACGGGTTGAAATTTGGACTTATGCAACTTGCTGAAGATTTTTGGTGCTGGTGTAATCGCACCTGCGAAGTGGTCACCGTAGGTGCGAGCCCACAGAAGCGGGACATGGAGCGCAGAAGCAGATTTGGGCAGCCCAGGTTGGGATTGCAAGTGCAAGGTTAGTTCCGCATCTGCGATGCCTGCAGATATGAGGGAAGAACCGCAGGAGCGGAGGAGTTTTCGCAGAAGCGGACGCGCAGGTACGACCCATTGCTCGTAGAAGAGGGACTCGAGGACATAAGTGATTTCTGCACCTGCGATGGTATTTTCGCAGGTGTGGCACCACAGGTGCGAAGAAAGGTCCGCAGATGCGGTTTGACTAGCAGAAAAAGGGCAAATCAAGGGTTGGATTCACTTCACCATTTTTGGACTTGGGAGCTCGGGATTTGGCGATTCTTTGAGGCATTTTCAGAGAGAGCATTGGGGTAACGATTCCTTACTCGATTTTGGTTACATTTCATTAATCTATTATTGTTTTCTTCAT